AACTAGACTTCTAAAAGGATAGTAAACAACCCTGAATCACTAGGTTGAATGCATCCAACAAGGATAATGGTTAGAGAATTGACTATCTCATAATGTGAATTAAAGGGGTGAGTAAAATAATAGAACATATAAAATTAACTATAATGCAAAGTATGATATGAATTCTAAATCATATGCTAAAATTAGATACTATATTAGTACTAAGACAGGGACATTGTGTGACAATTCTGTTAGGACTAAACAAACCCGACATGGGGTCAGGTGACAAGCAATGGCATCTGAACTGGACGTTGAAAAGTGGCTAATTTCTCAAGATCTGAAAAGCACACTCAGGAGCAGGAGCTGGGCAAACAAAGGCATGCTCAGGGCTATCGGGCACCCCGAGCCTACAGTTCCAACCAAGCGGCAGGGCACTGGGTCATGGTGCAACTCTGAAGACACCAGGGGTGTTACCGGTGGTGTTACCCTGCCTGCTATCCAGATGGGATGATGTAGACAGTATCCTTCTTCATTAAGTTAGTTACATGGGAGAAAAGACTGTAAAAGAAATAATGACAAGTAGATTTGATCTCTTGCCTACTAAAGTAAAAATAGTAAATTGTTAATGTTTGTTAAACCCAGTTAGTATCTATAGTTTTGTTCTCTGCATGTTCAAATACTCTATTTCAGAACCAGCAGATAGCACAGTGGGTTATATCACTGGACTCCAAAGTAGTCCTTGTTCAAGTCCCAGACCCAGCAGCTTAAAACACACTGGGCATGTGTGCATGTGTGCCCAAAATCCCAAGAGGAAAACAGAGGAGAAGGGATTGCAATGTGGCCATCCCCTCTGGGTAGTGATTTCTCACTTTCTGTTTCTGTCTCTCCAGTGAATGCACAAGCCCTATAGCAAAAATCTCTCTAAAAAAACCCAAATACTCTGTATTTCAAATAATTGATGTAGTTTACAACAATGCTTTTTTGAAATACTGTATATTTTGGATGTTTCAGTTAAAAAACACATTTGACTACTCAAAATCAAAACAAACAAACATAAAAAACAGAAAACATTTTTGTTCTCTGAAATTTTTGAAAGATTTTTTTAAACATTACACACATACAATATTTATGTTGAAGTGTAGAGGAGAATTTCTTAAACATATTCATGATATTACAAACTTTAAGCTGTATATTTGTCTCAACATTTTTTACTGCACAAAGCAGATGATGAAACTGTATCAAAAGATTATAAATAATATAATCCTATGGAAATTAATTTTGAGGCATAAAATCTCCTGATGTCTAGGACACTTTCCCTCTCCATCTGTACCAGCTTCCAACATGACCACGGTCCTTCACATGGCTGGAATGCATCCGCTATTTGTTGCATGCAGAAATGAAATACAAGTTTTGAAATTGTCTAAGACTTACGTGAAATGTACACGAAGTACTGATGAATCCACCCAACAAGGAAATATCAGTGAATTAATTTAGTTGAAAACTTAGAAATTATCAGATTAGGTCATTTCCAGAGCTCCTCTACTGCTTTTCAGTAGCTTCTTGTTGGGTTGTCAGAGAAGTCATGACACATTTTTGCATAGAAAAATACATCATGACTTTCCTAAAGACCTAATATTTTCAGGTCTAAATGTATGTTTAAAAATTTGGAAAAGGGGAGCCAGCAGTTGGTGTGGAAGTTAAGGTGCTGGATCCCATATAGCAGATTCTGGAGTTCTGAGTCTTGGACCTGGCAGCTTGAAAAATCACACTGGGCTCTTGTGCGTGTGTGCTCAAAATCCTGAGAAGAGACTAGAGAAGAAGGCATTGTGGTATGGCCATCCCCCATGAAGGATGATTTATTTTCTTTCTTTTTTTATTTTTTTGTTAAGAATTCTTTATCATTATTATTATTTTTTAATTTGCTACAAGTCACATGTGCTCACCAGAGAGGGACAGAGAAAGAGAGAGAGAAGGTAAGAAAGCAAGCTGCCAGGTCTGGGACTTGAACCACAGTCAGCCATGTGGGAGTCTATTATCTTACACTGCTATGCCACCTGCTGGGCCCAATGGTGAGTTCTAAATTTACCTCTCTGTCTCTCACTCTGTCTCTGTCTCTCCCTTCCAAGTGCACTCGCCTTATAGCAACAAATAAAAAAATGAAAGAAATTCATGCAATAGATTTATAAGCATGGTTTTCTTTTTTTATCTTGAATACATCATTAGGAAGTTATTAAAGACTTATAGAACAGGCCTATTTGAATTTACAGAACTACAACTCTCCAAAAAATTCTAATTTGAATTTTCAGGACTCCTTTTCAGTATTATTTCCATACCATAACATTTTGGAATTGATAACTTGGACTCACACTTTCCCATATTTTTAAAAAAAGATTATTTATTTACTTTTATCATTATTTTAAAATTTGTTACAGGGCATGTGCATTCACCAGAGAAAGAGTAAAAGAGAGGGAAAGTGACAAAACAAGCCACCAGGTCAAGGACTTGAACTGTGGTCAGCCATGTGGGAGTCCAGTGCTTTAACCATGCCACCTGCTGGCCCAACACACTCTTCGCTTTTTATTATACAGTTACTGAGATTATTGTGTTTATTAAATAGAGCATTTTTACTGCTGATAATCTCAGCAAAGAGTACTATGAGAACAAGAAAATAAAATGTAAACTATAGCTCTATAGTCATATAGATGTGAAAGTCTAAATTAACCATGAAAAGAAGAGTAGAAGTTTCTTTTGGAAAAAATGGAAATAATGATAATAATATATATATATTTAACTTTTTTTTTCCTTTAGGGTGTGGGTGTATTCACTTACCAGAGAGACAGAAAGTAAGAAATCACCCCCCAGTGGGGATGGCCATGCCATAATCCCTTCTCCATTGCCCTCCCAGGATTTTGTGCACACATGCACACACATGCACCAAACATGAGTATTAAGCCACCGGGTTCAGGGCTCAAACTACAGTAGGCCATGTGAGAATCCAGCACCTTAACCACTATGCCACCTCCTGGCTCCACAAATAATTATTAATAAGTATGTGCAATATCATTAATCCAAGTTCGGCCTTCTGATTGGCTCATGTATTCTATGTGGCGAGAAGTCAGAGGGGATTGAAGTCAGAGATGGAGAGGGAGTTCCTCTGGTGTAGCAACAGCTGCTGAGCTCCTGCTCTCAGGAGTGTGCTGTGACAAGTGTGAGTCATGCTAGGTTAGGCGGAGTGACAGTCAGTTTTCCAAGATGTTCCATGTTCACTCTCCCTATGCTACAAAATACTAGGTTTCCTGAAATTCTCACAACTTTTAAGATGCTGCTGCAGGCCCAGCCATGGTCACATGCCTTAGGTGATGGTGCTGCAGGGCAGGGTGGGGCTGCATGGAAGACCTGGTTCAGCTGGTGACCACCATAAAAGCTTTCTGTGGTGGTGTAGCCCTCGCAGCATGGAAGGCTGAGGAAATGCGACTGTGACAAAGCAAAACCTTACCTTAAAAACAAAAACAAAAACAAAACAAACAAACACAAAAAACAAACCTGCAATGATTTTAGCTCACTGCCCCTATTGGTAAGGATTATATTACAAAGAGAAATGGGACGATTTAGGGCCTCATGGAATGAATCTCTGATTGCCCCCTCTGATGGAGAGAGAATAGGCTCCTTGTATGCTGTTAGAGATAGCCCAGTTGCTCATGGGGGGAGGGCGCCTGTGGGTGATAGCTTTATATAATCATGTCTCAAAATGTCTAACCATGAATAATGGAGGGGTGACCAAAGCCTGGCAGTCTTAATACTAACAGTGACGTTTTGAAAAGCCAATCACACCTTAGGGCAAACAGCTAATAACTCCCCTGAGTATTTTCATGAACTCTGTGCACGGTTCATTTGGCCTAAAATGCTCTTTATAAACAAAATTAAGTTAAATATGAGCATGTGAGAGTGTCTTGATAATTCAGCCAGGAGTGGGTTAATATTTACTAAGATCTGTAAGCATTCAACTTTTCAGTTTTGACAGATGTACCAACTTTTCTTCAATCTTTAGTGATTGAATGGCTTTTTGATATAATTTTTTTGTTTATTTTCTGTTTTGTTATCCTCTGCTTTTCTCATGAAGCTGTTCTAATCTCTGTTTACAGGCCTCTAGTTCAGCTCCTAACACAGTATGTTTTAGTTCCTTATTCTTGTAATGCCTCAGACCAAAAATCTATGAAAGAAAAAAAAAAAAAGAAAAAGAAAAAAAAAAGAAATATTATTCCTTTCTTGTCATCAGAATACTTTTTGCTTAGTTACTAAATTCAAGATTTGGTAATAAATAAATGTATGAAAGACACTTTAAAAGCTTCAAATAATGATTACAGTTTTGATTTTTTTCACCCTATACCTATTAACACTCTGAATACCTCTTTCATCAACGTGCCAAGTGTTGACGTGATCCATAAAGATGGAACTAATCTCTAATGTGCATCAATCATACATTGACAGGGCTTTGCAGTGGCTCCTTTTATTCCCTGTACAAATGAAGACAAAGGAAGTTTGTTTGGAATGATATATGGCCCCAGGAACATTGTTGAGCACACTTGGTTTTCAGCTGTGTGTCTTTCCAGCTAGACAGAACTGCTTTCTCACTCTGCTCTTGAGTGATGACTGAAGGCTGTCGTTGAGGATTTTACTAAGAATCCATAGAGGACTGATGACTCATCCCAGTGAGAAACAGGAGTCTGAACTGATTGCTGAGATAACGGAATCACGTATAGATTTCAGGTACATGCTTGTTCAGGAATCTGACTTTCCCCAGTCCTTCTCCAGGGAGCTGAAGGACTCTCCCTCTATTTTACCACATGCTTCAGCTGGATGGAACAATGATGCAAATTTTCCAGCCTACCCTATTACTCGGTGTAGGG